TATGTATATATGTAAGTATGTATGTATATGCAATTCATTATCAGTTGTTTGGAAACAGAAGAAAATGTTTTCGGGCAGGTAGACAACTATAATTTTCCATCTGCCTTAATGTTCACTGTTACATCTCAATGTGGTGAATCCAATCAGACAAATAATGTGGACAATACCACCGAGCTGAGCTATCAGCGTCTCCAAGATCGATCCCATCTTGCCAGCAAAGTCCAGGAACCACAGCCGGCCCGTGACTCTCAGCAGAATCGCTTGTAGACCAAGTACCAGCTCACACAGGGCTTGAGTCTGAGTGCTGATAGTACGGCAATCCTTCATATTGGTCAGGCAGCCAGGAAATGGCCTGAATAGCCACAGACGCTGTTTTGCAGAACACCACGAGATCACCAAGCCAATCTGTAGAATCCAGTGATCAGAATCCAATATGTGCTAGTTGAACGGAGCAGAACAGAGGTCCAATCTTTGACATGTCCTCCCATGGAAAAAAATTGTTCCAAAAATTAATTAAGAGACCTTAAGAGACCAGCTGACCAAATACACAAAAATAAATCCATAATTTTCAGTTTTGGATGAAAACGTAGAGGAGGCTTCGAGCAGCAAAGCAGGGAAGGATAAGGGAGGGCAGCAGAGAGCGAAAATCTTACTCTTCCGAGAGCAGAAAAATAAAAATAAAAATTTGGCATCCTTCATTGAAGGTGACCTATGACCTTTATGGTCAAAGGTTTTCTATTGCTAGTGACCAGTGTGGGCGCAGCTCTTAAGCTAGGTTTAGCGAGGATGCACGTGCCCTAAGTGTCACAATAGCAGTTAGGGTTAGATGCCATCCCTGCCCTTGAGCGTTGGCCCCACGCACTGTCCTGGCGCRAGGTCGTGCACCTCAGAATCTTTCTAACTCTGCAAAGGCTGCGCACGCCGCGCACCATTCAAATAGTCGGTTTGTCTGTCAAGCTTTTGCTCTCCTACTTACAGCGTTTTCACAAGTTATAAAGTGTACTTCCACGGGTCATTTTGAAGAAATCTACAACAACGTAAATGCCAAGTATGAAACAYCTCCACAGCCGGCGAGGGTGCCAGCGCACTGTGCGCAYGCTCCACAGCGCAACTATAACTCAGCCTTTACATTGGTACAGCACCTGGTGTTCCCGTGTGGTATCCCATCCAAGTACTGACCAGGCCCAACCCTGCATAGCTTCTGAGATCAGACGAGATCTGGCGTGTGTGTGATAAAACTGACATTTAAAAAATGTCAGTTTTATTATTGCATTTGTGTGCAGTGCCTCTCTCCCTCAGGTAGTGTCAACTTATGAACTTTTTGAGTCTGTACGATTTAAGATGGCTGCCATGGCATATTGCCAACACAAAAATGGCTCTATCAAACTTACAAGCTAAAATTTGATGTGGTCGTGGCTGAAAGTCATCCACAGCACACACATCTCACAAAACTGAATGAATTTTTCTATAGTGTTACACTGCTTGGCCAAAAAAAAAGTTTCCACCAAAAAAAAAGTCACACTAATATTTCATTGGACCACATTTAGCTTTGATTATGACACGCATTCGCAGTAATGTCACAAGATTGACTTCCATCCAGCGTTGCATTCATTTTTCACCAAGTTCTTGCATTGATGATGGCAGAGTCTGACCGCTGCACAAAGCCTTCTCCAGCACATCCCAAAGATTCTCAATGGACTCTGTGGAGTGTGTGAAAATGATGTCTCATGCTCCCTGAACCACTCTTTCACAATTCCAGCCTGATGAATCCTGGTATTGTCATCTTGGAATATGGCCGTGCCATCAGGGAAGAAAAAAGTCCATTGATGGAATAACCTGGTCATTCACTATATTCAGGTAGTCAGCTGACTCGTTCTTTGAGCACAGACCGTTGCTGAACCTAGACCTGACCAACTGCAGCAACCCCACATCATAAAACTTTGTTAAATCCAGGTGGATACTTTTTTTTTTTTTTTGGTTGGGCAGTGTACTTTCAAGGCTCAACCAAAACTATTATTAAAGTTTTATAAAACTTTGGCATGGAAGGTGGAGGGTGATAAACATTCACTTAAAAAACAACTTGTGTTTTCATTCTTATCATTGCTTCATGTTAAAATATGCTGTTATCCCATTTCAACGGGGTTACATGTTACTGCAAGAGATGTTTGTATTAGTGACCCATTTATAGCTAAAAATAACACCCGCTACCTTCTTATGTTAATGGAATAAGTGTTGGCGCATTTATCAAACCTGACAACTTAAGCTTTTCCAGGATTGACCATAACTCAAGCTGCTGTTTCGGCTGACACCCCATGATTTCAGGCTGAGAACAAAGAAAGGTGCTCGCAGTAGTTTGATGAATGTTGCTGAGTTTGCAGTCGCTGTAGAGACAACAAACTTTATAACATCGAGATGTTTATGATGACGTTCCTGCAGAAATGAAAAATTAAGTTCAGGTCCTAGAACTGCTCCAGTCTCCAAAGCTTCACAGTAATTTATGGGAAAATATTTTGTAAACCTACACAGTCAAAGTCTATCTACAACAGGTAAGAAATACAGTATATGTTTTCCATAGAACCAAACTTTAAAAGATCTGAACTTTTTATTTATTGAGTTTAAATTATTGGTAATTTATTAATCTAAAAAAACTAAAGATTTTAGTGATTCTTAATTCAGTTAAACAGCATCTTATTATTTTCCTTTATTTTATGTTCCAACCTAAAATATTTCTGATATTCTTCAACAAAGAGACACTAAATTAAGGACAGTCAAATCAGTTGAACAGATTTACGTCAGCAGCATTTATGTATCTCAAAGCCGCGAGCTATAGAGAGAGCAGAGGAGCAATGAGATAAGAGCCGATTAATCCCTGTCTTTATCTTCCAGTCATTCAGCAGATGCTGGGGTCAATAAATGAAATAAATTAATTGAGACGGCGCTCAGAGTGTTCAACAACAAGCAGGAGCAAAGAGCTGCCGAGCCATTTCTCTGCTTTACAGGACCGACATGAACTTGTTCAGGATGGAGCGATTCGAAATCATTCAGATTTTCTGAGGGTCTGGCTCAAATGTTTTCATCTGTTACAGCTAAAAATGAGGCCCAAGTAAATCTGCACAATACAGTGTTGAATTTATAATCAGGATTTTCAAACACTTACTGAAAAAAAAAACAACTATGACATGAAAAATATGCCAAAATTTCGAATTAATGTAGGTTGGTGTCATTTAAGAAAAATATTTGAATTCAAAAAATATGCATTTCTGCTAGAATTGAGCGTGAGCACTAAAGCTGATTGATCAGAATGAAAATCATTAGAGATTGAAAGTAAASTGTTGAAGGAACTATAAAAAATGTAAAACAAGCTGAAATTTGATAAACAACAGCTAAATGTTAAAAATCGCAAAACTTTATCTAAAAGCTAAAATTAGCTACACTGTAGCTAAAGGCTAAGATTAGCAAAACAGCAAACAAAACTAAAATAAGCAAAACAGTAGTTAGAAATTAATAAAGGTTGAAGTGTTGCTAGAAACTAAAATGGGCAAAACAGCAGCTAAATGCTAAAATTAGCTCAACTGTGGTTAAATTAAAATTAGAAAAAAGAAAAAGCAATTAATTAAAGGCACAGGATTTTGTCATTTCTTTTAGCCGAAATTGAGATAATCACTAATGACACTAATAAAAAAAACATGTCTAATAATTGCAGACAAAGACCTTGTTTTATTATTTTTACCTTTATAAAAAGCTGTTTATATCTCCATGGTCGCGGATCTCCACTACAGGCAGCCGCCATCTTGCACCGCCATCTTGTCTACGAAGGCTCATGAAGGACAAACTGCGGTGGCGGCGTCAAAAAATGGTTTTAGTTTTAATACTATAAATGTAATATTTGTTGTCTGTCATTGTAGCTGGGATAATTTTACTTATTAAAGCTCATAAT